GTGTGTATGTGTATGCGTGTGTGTGCGCGCGCGCGCGTGCTCGAGGGGAATGTTATGGGAAAATAAGATCAAATGGCCCAGGGTTGGGAGCCCTAAAGCAACAGTGTTGATGTCGTTTTGTTTGTTTCTTAAACTGGGCTCGTACATTGTATAATATGTACAAACATGTACTTCGAAACCCTTCCAAAAATTGGGCCTTCAACAAACTAAAGTCTGCTCTTGATGAGTCCTTCTTTCACGATGACACATCCCAGCAGACAGCGTATAGTCGACAAGAATAATTAAGCCTATAATTAAATATAAAAAACTACCTCTAACGAGAATTGAACTCAAGTCTACTGCGAGCGAGCAATGGCAAAAAGCCCTTATCCCCATCCCTTGCCCGACGACTAACTCAGCCCCAACCTGGCGTCCAAGTGAGCCGTGTCCCGAGGTACAGGCTGAGGAGACGGCTGTAGACGTCACCAATAGCAAATGGTCGCTTTTAAGCACAAGGGGGCTATCCCGAAAAAAATGTGGTTTTGAGAAAATCGAAGGTAAAGTGTTTTTTTTGCCCCTTGTTCAGTTCCTTTAAAGGACAAGGAGAGTTTTCTCTATAGCCAAACAAATATATGACACCAATGTAACCAAACTTCTCCAATAGGTAGGGCAATTACCACTTTTGGTGTAGGTCAAGATTTCTGGAAACCCCCGAAATTTGGGTTAGCCTGCTTGTCCTGAAAAGCGACCAAATGTTTTACCGCACATTAACATAATTTTAACAACAAATTAGGAGGTGGGGTTAAAGATGACCTTTCCCACCAACAAAACCTACCGAAATGGAAGGAAATGGTCAAAATTAATATTATTTCTTTTTTTGAGGGCTGGTATAGTTTTTAAAGAGATCTTTTCAAGCGATTCAACCTCTTGCAGCACCAACAATTAATTCGCATAAATCTAAAAAACGCTTCCTCAGAACGCCAATTTAACTCAAAACTACACACCGTGATCAGCATTTCAATGTCTCCAGTCACCACAACACAGTTATATTTACCATAACGTCCTCCGAAATCTAGTGGTTAGGGTACCGGACTCGTAATCGTAAGATTGTAGATTCGGGGGTTCGAGGCTCAGTTCCGTCCGAAGTCGTGTCCTTGGGAAGTGCATTTCACACAAATTTTTCCATTTTTGACTTGGTCCTATCGGAGATGGACGTTACATTTGGAGGTTTCGCCTCTTAAATAACCTTAATATAGTGTCGTAAAGGGAGATTTACCTATACAGGTTCGCACATTTTCGAACAATGATATATAATTATAACCACCTTAACTTCCATTAACTGCATGCAGTCCTTCACAGGACGAAATAATATTCTAGAATCGAGTTAGTCTTCACTATGCGTAGTGATGAAAATTTTTAAGGCAAAAGTCGGATGAAAGACCAATTACGATAAAGCGACTTTGTGGCGATGACGTCATACTGGAGGGCAACAAACCATTTTAAAAACAAGTGAACAACAAGAATGCGTGAAATCATGCATTGCACAATAGAAGCAATCGTATGATGTCAGAAAACGAGCTGAACCCTTTATAAGATCTGAAACTCTTCTTCTAGCTAGAGCGCATTGAAAAAAGTACAGCTTCGAGAAGTTGTCTTTATTCAACATCCCCGCTACATGCATAGAAAACATGATGCAAAGAAGTTTTTGTTAGATTGTAACTGCTGGACCACTCAAAAATCTCTGTTTCCAATCATATCTGAGAGTTGTTGTTTTGTTTTTGTTGTTTTGTTTTTGGGTTGTTGCTTTTTTTTTTGGTTGTTGTGTTGTTGG